CACACACCTGCCAGTCACACCACAAGCACCAAGTTCCAGTCCGCTGCCACAGCTTTCCTCCATCATCACACGCTTTGGATAGTCCGGTACAACGACCGCCGCTAACAATGCAACACTGCACACGCCACGTACACCATCGCCATCATCAAATGACAACACTGTCGTGCGATATGCTGCTGCGCATAGCTATTTTGCCGACTACCAATCAGAAATTCAGAATTTAGAATTTTAGCTTAGGTCTTCGACCAATTGGTCATTCCGGAGCGAACAGCAGCTGTACGATGCAGCTGCGCGTTAGTGGGCGGAGCTGGCACGCAGTAGCGCGCGCATCCGTACGTGGGACTGAGCTGCTGTCGTTACGCAACGTGGTTCGACACTATTTCAACAATTTCGACATTATCGAGGACCTCTGACTTTCGTCACTACCTTCTGTCACCAACCCCAACATTTCGTACAATTTGCTATCTAACAAGAAAAGAATAACCACTACTTTCTTAGATTCAAATTCTCAACTACTTTCCACAGTACAGTATTTGATGATTTGCAGGTAAAAAGCGATGAAGTTGTCTATTGCATTCCGCGGTTACGCGATTTAAACGAATAAACATTTGTCATTATCTAATTTTGTACACACCTTCATTCAGTCAATAACAATGAATGCAATTCTTCATTTAGATGGATGATGAAATAAAGCAAAATCGTTACCAACAGTTTTGCTCTCTAAATCATGTTCTTTTGCATTATTTTCATTCCGATGCTAGAATATTCCGTTCGTCTCGCGTACGGTTCCTCGTCCTCCCTTCACAGGTTAGAAGCCACGATTAAAAGACTACACTGTGTTTTCTTTGGGAGCTAATACGGACGGTGACCACCATTCCTTCAATTTGAGTTTGTAACTTACATTCGGAATTTGCGTCTCATACATAAATTTGACCTGTAAAAGCATAAAGAGGTCCTTTCTGCATCACATTACCACTGCCAAAAACATGCAGACTGACGAGCCTGGCCTCAGCGTGACCTCTCAAAAATGTTAATAAGCACTGACATTATTTCAAAGTGTTTTGGGTCTACCACTGTTTCCTCATTATTTTTTATTAACAGTTTTATTCCTTTAATAGAATTGCATGCATTACTCATTTCATCAGGTTAAAATACTAGAGATGATTGAATGATTCAGCAACAATGTCTTCGTCGTAGATTTCAGGCGAGGCACAAGTACGGGATTAGATGACGAGGAACATGCGGTGTAATATATACTTCTAAGTCGTCATGCTATCCATAAATACGTGTAATGAAGCCTGGAATAGTCGGCTAACGAAGCTCTTATAACCGATGTTTAGATAGTTCTTTATGCCACAAGAAGATCTGTACGATATTCCCATTACAAGTCCAGAAGAAATGACTGAGACCACCGCTCCCATCATTAAACCTTAAGAATTATTATGAAATCTTTCCTACATCCCATGGTATACCGAATTTAGGATACCTAATCATGATTAATATAAACTAATAATTCAGTCAATACTTGATCATTGGTTCTAAACTGAAACTGGTAACATTCATTCACTTAAATGATCAGCATATGAGAACTGTGAATGGCAC